TATACATATATATACAGAGAGAGAGAGAGAGAGAGAGAGAGAGGGAAAGAAAAAAGAGAGACTGAGAGGGAGAGAGAGAGAGAATGAGACAGAGAGAGAGAAAGAGAGAGAGAGAGAGAGAGAGAGAGAGAGAGAAAGAGAGAGAGAAAGAGAGAGAGAGAGGGGTGGAGTAGAGATAGAGTGACAAATAGAGAAGGGGAAAAACTTAAACTGCAAGGCATCGATACTATTATACGTCTCTTTGAGAGCTTCTGAGTAGACAAACGAGTGCCGGAACATAATCTCATTTGTCTATTATTTCAGAACTGGCACTTCACAAAAAATACGAAGTACTACATTTTAATATGATATTACAACGAACCGCACCCGCCCCCCTTTTTAAATTAATGAAAAAGAAAAAATCACCAAAAGCAAAGAAAAGGTGGGCTTTTTTTAAATTAAAAAATAAAACGAAACAGAGGATAACAAACAAAAACAGCAACAAAAACAACAGCGAAAAAGTAAGTTACAACTGCCAAATTACATCCCCAGCTTTGGTTTCGACGACACCAACAACATCTGCAGCAACAGCTGCACCAACTTCTACAGCAATGTCTACAACAACAACACCCGTAACTTCACCCTCAACTACTTGCTCCTTCAACCCATGTTTTAACGGCGGCACGTGTGTGGCTTTCGGCTCTTCCTACACTTGCCTGTGTCCTTCATCTTATAGCGGCGTCATCTGTCAGATCGGTAATTCATATAAGTGCTCCATCCCTGTCTTCTTTGGTGTTCCTGGTTCACTAACATATTCATTTCGTTCTTTTTTCTTTTCTTTGTCCTTTCTATTTGTCCTTTCTTTTTTCATTCTTTCTTCTTACTTTCTTCTTTCGTTCTTTCTTTTCTGTCTGTCTTTCTTTCATCCATATCATGATAATATTACAATTCAGTTATTATTTTTCGATTATAATTTAACAATTGTTTCTTAGTTATTTTACAATTCCTAGAATGTCTCCCGATTTTTTTACGATCATTTGCAATTATTTCGCATTCAGTTTACAACATTTTCATAGTAATTTTACAGTTTTTACTACCATTTTACCACTGTTTTACAGCAACGCTTTGTTTTGTTTCGCAGAATCAAAGGATACCCCATGTGATGCCCAGCCATGCCTGAACGGTGGTACGTGTGAGGTACAAGGGGACTCCTTCCTTTGTCGGTGCCCGCCTCAGTACACCGGCAGTTTCTGTCTCGTCCGTGAGTTTATCTCGACCAGTAGTGTTTGTCAACATTGTTTATAGCCAGCACCCACATTTGCCACCTTTACGATATCAAAGTCACACAAAATGTACACTTGCACTTTTTAAGGACTCTCAAGCTTTGAAATCACCAAACTTTGGTAGTCGTATTCTCATTAATTTTACCACCAACATCAGGCCTCAATCACTCTCAAATATCTCTACTTTGATTCAAGATAGTGTGGGATTTTTTCCTTCAAAAGCGAGAAAATGTAATAACTTTAAGATGCTACTACCAACTCCACATGCGCAAAAAAATGACAACAGTCTGATTTCACAGTGTCGTATCACTTATTGTAAGTGGGCTATAGAAAAATATCTGTCCTCATTTCCTCACGATACCTCATATATTATACGTAGTACGTGAACAAAAGTATTGAGTACGTTTTGAGGCTCTGAGTACGCCAGTACGATTGTGTGTTCGAAAATACGTACATAATATCATTGTTCTGTTTTCTAGAGTCGTTCCTAGCGGAATTGTTGATACTAAAGGAAAATTAAGAACTTCTGAGATGGGATTTGAGAGTATTGATGAGAACAAAACACATACGTTAAATGGAGACATCTTTGCTGCAGCTTTCCTTTTGACAGTTTGTCATGCATGCATAAAAATGTGTGTGGAAGGTTTATTTGTTTGTTTTTTGTAGTCGTTGTGTTTTGGGGGTCAGTTTTGTTTTGTTTAGTTTTGTTTTATTTTGATCTGGGTTTTTTTGTTTGCTTGGGGTTTGGGGATCTTTGTTGCTTTCTTTTGTTGTTGTTGGTTGGGTTTTTGGTTGCTTTTTGTTGTTTTGTTTTGTATTTTTTGTTTGTTTGTTTGTTTTGGGTGGGGTGGGGTGGGGGGGGGGGGGTTGGGGGAGGATTATATGGCCTGACATCTTAACCCAGCTGTGTTCGTAGATTATCTTATATACTTTGAAAAGTTGATGGCAACATAACATGTAATTTTGTTTTTGTTTTCTTTTTGTTTTGTTTTGTCTTGATTTGAAATTTAATGAATCTTGTCACTACCTTGGTAATCTTCAAAACTCACACAAATACCAATTAGCCCACTAGTGGAAAATGCCACTAAGGAAAACAAGCACTGATCCAGACAGCTATTGCAAGAACAATAGAGCGAGTATAAGATTAAGTCCCGATTAGGCTCAAAATTACGGAATTTGAGTTTTAGTCATTTTTAGCTTCCTCAGCATCTCCTACAACTATTTCATCGCGTAAGAACCCCCCAAAACCCCATTTTTCCCCATACCGTTTGTCACCACCATTTCCTCATAAAGTCGATATTTTATTTTTCTTTATCGGCCGTTTTCTCAACACGTTACTTTTCGCTATACTTGTTTGAGTAACTCCACCATTTTTCGTCCAATCTTCATGAAATGTTCACAGAATGAAGAGAAGATGTAATACTAAAAATGTGTCTGTGAATTTTTGATATATGGAAAAGATTTTTGTTGGTAGTGTCTTGAGTGTTGATTTTCACGGATTTTTTGCAAACTTGAATACTACCTCAGGAAAAAATTCAAAAACAATTTCCTAATTCGTTTAGGAAAAAAACAACAGACACATTTTTAGATGTAATGTTTGTGAACACGCATGCAAAAAAACAATCAATTTCCAAGAGCAGTAAGTGCGATATTCATTACGTAAGACTTGTCAACAAAATCTAATATGGCCGCCGTATCCATGGAAACGAAACTTTTTCTCAAATTTGATTGCTGATTTTAGAACTCCTTACTATGCTAGTTATATGTGGGAAATTTGGTGACATTCGGTAGACTATTAAGCGAGATAGCCTTCAGGTGTAGCCCCCCCCCCTCCCACCCCACCCCAATACAAGTGCCAAGAAAACAGTTTAAAAATGCCTGTGTATGTGTGTGGGGTGGGGGGCAGTGTAGATTCAGAGGAAGGGCTAGTACTTTATGGTGAACGACAGTGACATCTTGTTAGAATGGTCACGACCCTACCTGGTCCCCACTCCTGCACCAAGCTCACGTATGGCTCCACGGAAACTGCTACTTTCCGGCAGTGGTCACACACTAGGCAAAGATTTTGACTGACAAGCCAAATTTACGGCCCTCGCAACTGCATATGGTCAAATGAGGGCGCGGGGCACACCAAACATCTGCAGTTGGTAGGAATTTTCGAATTTTGCCCGACTGGCGGCCAAAGCCTACTCTTATCGATTTTGAACCACCAAGGGATCTAACGTGCGTAACTTGCGCTCGGGACTTCCGAGATTGTTTGCCCACGACCGAGAAGGCTAGATCTAGGTGTAGATCTTACCTACCATAAGATCATGGGTGTGGCTGAAAGACAACAGTAAGAAGGAGCCTAGGAGAAGCAATAGAAATGCGAAAAAAAGCCAGGAGCCCAGAGGAAAGGGCAAAGGGGGGTGAGGGGTGGGGCAGAAAAAGAAGACAAAAGCAGACGACATAGCATTGTTAGAGAACAGGAAGGGAAAGGAAAACAGCACATTTTAGAGAAAAAGATTTTCCGTCCCTATCCGGGTTCCAACCCTGGTCCTATTGAATACGATGCACACACCTTTACCTCTAGACCATGAGAGCCCTCAGTGAGCTTTGGGGTGGGGAATGTCTACCCCTAGTACACAAAGACTGGCTCCGGAGGACTGCGCTGAGGAAACCCCATGCGTTTAACGGGTAGAAAAGCAGACCCAGTAAAGCGTTTTTGGAGCGCAGCAAAGGGCACGGTGAGGTACAAAAGTCACTGCTAACCATTCTCTGCATGCCGACCTGTCCCCAGTTGTTTAGATTATGTCCTGCCACTGGTCACAGATGGCTCGAGGTGAGAGAGTGAGACTTTAGATCTGTGCAACTCTCCCTCAGTGTAATCTAAGTCAAGCACAAGTCATGACTTCATTCCTTCTGCCTGAGCTGTCTCCGTAAAATCCTACGCATCAAATGGTAGGACAAAGCCCCAGAAAGAGATCTTCTAGAGCGCACCGGAACCCAGAGCACCTACACCTTCTTCCAGAAAGTCAGATGGGTCAGCCTCGTGGTCTGAATGGCGGACAGCCGGTTGCCTAAACAACTGATATATGGAGAGCTGTTTAATTTCAAACGCTCAGTTGGAGGGCAAAAAAAACAACATTTGTCAAGGATTGCTTCAAAGTCTCACTGAAAAAAAGTTGGAATTCTGAACGACTCGTGAGAAACGCTGGTTCTAGATCGTCCCGAGAGGCGCTGCAAATTAGGGAGCCAAAGCAGAAGAAGCCAAGCGCATTGCCGAAGCCAAACGAAAACAAAAACGGACTCAAGTCTACTATGCTGTACCTGCCTCCATCACAAGTCTAACAGCTGACCACACTGCGGGCGAACCTTCCGAGTCTGAAAGGGGTAACGAGCAATTTTCGGACCCAAGGTCACCGCCAAGAGATCAGTTTGTGAAGTCAAAAAGGAAGGACGGACAACACGTGTGTGTGTGTGTTTGTGTGTGTGTGTGTGTGTGTGTGTGTGTGTGTGTGTGTGTGTGTGTGTGTGTGTTTGTTTGTGTGCGTGTGTGTGTGCGTGTGTGTTGAAAAGGGAGAGAGGGGTAAACGACTTACTTATACCTTGGACGTTGAACCTGTCCATAAAGACCAGCTAGCTAGTGCGCTTTTCTATATTTTAAACAAGTACATAGTGGTCACTGTCCAACGCGGCCACGGTCAGTCATTATAACAACATTTCAGCCCAAATACCCATCATTAGCGGCCACTTGGATCAAACATTTATTTTACACCAAGCCGTCATCAGACTGAGTGTATTCGATCAATCAGTGCAAAGTAAATCTTATGACAAATCATATTGTTTATGGATATGAAGGGGACAGATTTTTAAAAAAATAGTCAGATTTTAAATAGTATGTTGACTTTGTCAAGTCTTTACGTGAAGATAAATATGATCATGACCCTGCCAATAACGACCACATATCTATAACAGTCACTTTCCTCTTTGAAAGGGGTCACCATTGAGGAAAGGTTCAACTTTTAACGTCAAGCGTTTGAACTCCCCCACCCCCACCCCCACCCCCACCCCCACAGATACACACATGAATTCAGTTCCTCTCTTACTGATCAGTACAACATCTGTATATAATCTAACTATTCATAATTGCTTGCCAACGATATTCCCCTACCCCATAAAAATTCCGTGTTCAGAAAAGACAATATTACTCGCCAACCTACAATCTCCCTACTCACACAATAACGACGTTCGTTGTGTTGCCATTCGGCTCTTTGAAAAGTTTACGGGTCATTTCCCATAACGGGACAAAATATTAATCTATTTCTTCTGTCTGCTGGGACATTGTGTCTTTCTCAGTGTGTGTTTAACCCGCCCGTCTGTTTCATAAATGGTCTTAAGTGTCAATGAGGTGTGTAAGACATAAAATTTAGGCCACAAATTGCTTTTTCATTTCAGCAATCGCAGTGACAACGATGACAACGACACCTGACCCCTGCGGAAAAACTGTCTCCAACATCCGAACTGTCGGTAAGATCATCCTTGTCTTTTATAAAGGCACAAGAGTAATTGTTCAAAATTGTCCTGTACCAGTGAGAACATCACTGTGGGAGGTGTGTATGTATGTGTGTGTGTGTGTTTGTGTGTGTATGTGTGTGAGTCTGTGTGTGTCTGCGTGCTTGTGTATACAGTTTTATTGTTATTGTTGTTGTTGCTGCTGCTGTTGTTGTTGTTTACTGTTATCCTAATAATTATTATTATTTGTTATTATCCCATTATGTTATTATTATTATTAAAATTATTAATATTATTATTATTATTATTATTATTGTTATTATTATTATTATTATTATTATTATTATTATTATTATTATTATTATTATTATTATTATTATTATTATTATTATTAATAATATTATTATTATTAAGGATATTGACGATAATGGTGTTTGGTTTGGTGATGCTAATAGGCTTAAATTTAGTATCCAAATTGTTTCGCACACGATAGAATGATACACGTTTTTAAAGACCATTTTGTGACGTCATTTTCTGCAGTTACCATTTCCCCTTTATATTTTATGTGACGTATCCTCTCGGGGGGCTCTCGTGGCATAGAGGTTAAGATGTTCGCCTCTCCTTCAAAGTTTCCGGGTTCGAATTCGATGGCGAAGGGAAAAAATGTCTTCTCTAAAAGTGTCTATTTTTTCCTGCTTTCCTGCTCTCTTGCAACATTTAGTCGTTTGCTTTCACTGCTCCCACCCGATCACCTCCTCTGCCGCCTCCTCTGGGCTCCTGACTCTTTCTGCAGCTTTTCCTCTGCTTCTCCCTGGCTCCTTCTTACTGATGTCTTTCAGTCACACCGCTGATCTTATGGTAGGAAAGATCTACTCCTAGCCTTCTCGGACGAATGCGAAAATACTCGGAGGTCCCGTGTGCAAGTTGCGCTTGTGAAACATCCCTTGATGGTCTAAAATCGATAAGAATAGGCTTCGGCTGCCACTTGGTCAAAAATCAAAATGTCCTACCAACTGAAAATGTTAGGTGTGTGCCTCGCGCGCACATGACCTTATTCAGTTCCAAAAAAAGGGGAAAAAAATTACCCTCTCGATGCTACAGAATCCGGAAAGTTACGCACCGTTCATTTGTGCTTTGTCTTTGGTTCTCTAACACTTTGCATAATGAATGATAATGGGGCGATCTATGATTTGTTTTTAATTTTACTTCTTAATGTATATAACAAGTATTTTAATGTATTATTATATCATATTTTTATGCTCATTCGAAAAATGCTAAAATTATTTTGGGGGCAAACTGAAATATTGCCACATCTATAGTGCAGTTGACAATTCGTGGCGTGTCTTATTGTCACATATTTCCTAAGCTATCGAACACAGGCTCTCCAGTTTTTGCACCCTGACTTGAATCAATTTTTTTATAAACCCATTTTAGATTCTAGAAAATTCCGTGATAAAACCTAACAGAAAAAAAAATTCAAGTGGGTGGTTTCATCAGATTTTAAGAGGTTTACAGCTGGGGCAATATAGCTTTTAAAAGCAAGTCCTGTCTTTTTTTTTTATCAAGCATTATGCTTATTGAATGCTTATGTATGTTTTGTCAACCTTTTGTACAAAAGTGTGTTCACTATAAAATTAATTTCTTGAACAAGTTTTGCCAAAATAAAGTGTCATTGGTGAGCTGTGATGTAGGCCATATGCGTATGCAAAATGTTTATGAGAAGCAGGAAGGACTGTGAACGATTCAAATTTTTGCAAGACGGAGATTTACAGCATTTTATATACATTTATGAAAAACAGGTTTGTCTTTTTTTAATATTAATATTGCCCTAAATGTTGTGGAATTTATGATTGAGTCAAGACCAAATCTGTCATCAATTGTTGTGCAATTGTTAAGGAGGACATCGAATCACCAGTTAAAGAGACATTTGAAGGTAGGTTACGCCACGAATTTATAAACAATTTGATGAGTTCCCCAGATTTCTGTCAAAAGTTGTTTAAAACTTTGAATTATATTAAAGCGCCCCCCCCCCCCCTTCCAAAAAAAACTGTTATAAAAATCTATGTGCACTAGGCTTTGTAATTTTTCTCAAAACGCTAAAATGACTCAGGTAAATATATAATGAGCATGACGACATATCACATATTAATATAATATATAATATTATATATATATATATATATATATATATATATATATATATATATATATATATATATATATATATATATATATATGTGTGTGTGTGTGTGCGCGTGTGTGTGTGTGCGTGTTTGTGTGTGTGGGTGTGTGTGTGTGTGTGTGTGTGTGTGTGTCTGCGTGTCTCATCAGGCGCTCGTCCAAATAAGCGTCTTCAAACTGAATACAATAATAATGTATTTATAAGAACTGCCCATATCTTCACGCTAGAACCGAGCTCATGTCATCTGTGTGCTTCTGTCTGTTGGGAGACTGTCTGTATACAGATCAACCTGTGCAGGCCATGACACCCTGGGACGAAGCCCACCTCCAATTTCGTCTGCAGTGTAATCGAAGGCAAATGCAATGATGGCTTTCAGCGTTATATTATAGAGATTAAGATGTTAAATCATGTCGTGTTTCTTTCCAAATCTAGGTTGTGTACCAGCTGAGGTTATCTTTGTTGTTGAGTACGGAAAAACGGAATCCACCCTAGACATCGATCACGAGACAGATTGGATTTCAAAAACGATCAGCAATTGGAAGCTTGACAATCAGAACATTCGAGTGGGCGTAGTTGTTTACCACGATACTGTCACGGAGGTTAGATAGATCTACAATGTTGTAGTTTTTCTTTTATTGTTTATACACTTTTTTTTTTCTCTTTTGCATCGTGCCTATTCTTGTTCCCTGTGCGACATAGTATTTGTCAGTAGAGCGAGATGAGCGAAGTTTGACAACATTTTCTGTTTGTATTGAAGTGTGTTTGTTTGTTTTTTTAAAAAGTTTTGTATGTTTAAATTTTGATTTTGATTTTCGTAACTTCTTTTTTAAAATTTGTGTTGTGTTGGTTTTTTCCCTAATGGCGTGAGTATCTGTGTTTGTTTGGTTGTTTATTTTTCCTTGTTTAGATTTTGTTTGTTTTGTTTTGTTTTGTTTTTGTTTTTGTTTCTGATTCCGTTCTTCTAGGGAAACAGGGGTGATTTTGGTTAGAGGATACTAGTCTATTTATTTGTCATTGAAGGCTCATAGTTTATTCAGATACAGAGTCAAAAATCTTGCCCTCAGTTTTATTAATTAACAAAAAATTTTTTACAATTATTAATCATCTTACTTTCTTCGGATCTGTTAAGTCGAAAAAATGGGCAACGGTCTATCTCGTCCTCTGTTTGAACCCTATTTTTTCTTCGTCCAGGATGAAATCCCCCCCCCCCCCCACTTCAACTCCACAAAAAAGTGTTATTGCTATACTCAATTTGTGCAACATGACGAAGTTAGTCACTCAATGTACTCAGTTGTATTGAGATATAAAGCAAGACAGTAGATTTTCTCAGAAAGGTCATATTCAAACTCTCGAAACTTCAAAAATTGGCTATAAGTAAACTTGTGTAAGAAATCGTGTGTAAGTAAATGTGCATATATTTATATTATATATAATATATATTATATATATATATATATAATATATATATAAATATATATATATATATATATATGTGTGTGTGTGTGTGTGTGTGTGTGTGTATGTCTGTGTGTGTATATGTGGATGTATACATGTCTCCAGAAATGTTCGGTTAATATGTCCAACTCTCTTTAAAATAGAAGAACTGTTTTCTTAAACTCGACAAATCAATTGTGACAAGCACTAGATTTCATAATGCATGTCGAATATGTGTACACATGTGTATATTATTATGTATGTGCGTGGCATCATAGTGAAATCAGATGCTCGTCAAAATTGTCCTACCGGGTTTTGGCAGACCACTCATCAAGGTAATTATCCAGTAAACATATCCCATTTTTTTTCAAATGCCTTTAGTAATAAAGTATGTCTATTTATCAGTTTTCCCCCAGGAAATAGTATGCCTCAGTCTCTCCAGAACTATATACATGTAATAACGTATGCATCATTTTCTTCAGATGTATCCAGTAGTGCATTTCAGAATGTCTCAAGAATTGCCACACATTGAATGTCTTAATCTCTCTAGATACCTCTAGTCAGTATGTCTCAACCTTTCATGATGATTCAGTAAAGTTTGTCCTAATCTCATTCAGGCTATACATCTGGGAGATTACCATAGTGTGAGAGATCTCAGCAGTAAGCTCAGCCGACTATATAGACAGCTCAGGCCGAGTGGAGATCCAGACTTGGCCAAAGCTTTGGATTACATCAGACTTACGTCATTCAAGGTACCCACATACGTTTTATTGTAATTTTTAAATCTATCTATCTATTAATCTGTTTATCTATCTATCTATCTACCTATCTATCTATCTATCTATGTATCTATCTATCTATCTGTCTATCTATCTATGTATCTATCTATCTATCGGTCTATCTATCTATCTATCTATCCCTCTACCTCTCTCTCTCTATCTATCTATATATCTGTCTATCTTTGGTAGTCACATTTACCCCCACCCCCAGGATGGCTTTGATGGTCTCTGTCGAGTGGACGGACAGCCAACAACAGCAGTAACAACTACACCAACATGTCTATCAGGAAGACGGGCAGCCAGATCTGAGGTCGGGGTTGTACGTTGTGGGAAAAGACAAACTCGCTTGCATTTAATGATTTCGTTGTTTGAATACCATACAACCATAAATAGGAATTAACGATCTTCTTGTATATTTATCCTCAGAATGCACGTAAAGGAGTGGAGAGAGTGGTAATACCTATCGTTCATCAGATGTCTAGTAGAACCGAGAATGACATCCCAAAAGCTGCACAGCTACTCAAGGCCGATTGTACTTCGATTATAGGTAACGTATTCAGAGATGCTTCAGGGCATGTCATGGGTTTTATTATAATAATGTGTAAATAGAAAAGGACATTGACAAACGTATAAAGAGAGAACGAGCGAGTGAGAGAAAGAAAGAGGGAGAGAGAGGGATAGAGAGAGAGAGAGAGAGAAAGAGAAAGAGAGAGAGAAAAGAGAAAGAGAGGTAGAGAGGGATAAGTAAATGAAGAGAGAGGAAGTGAGTAAGAGAGGAAAAGAATAAAAAAAACAGAGAGAGAGAGAGAGAGAGAGAAAGAGAGAGAGAGAGAGAGAGAGAGAGAGAGAAAGAGAGAGAAAAAGGGAGAGAAAGGGAGAAAGAGTGTGTATGAATGTGTGTGTGTGTGTCGGGGGGGGGGAGTATGTGTGTATGTGTGTGTGTTTGTGAGAGAGAGAGAGTCAGAGAGAGAGAGAGAGAGAGAGAGAGAGAGAGAAAGAGAGAGAGAAAGAGAGAGAGAGAGTGTGTGTGAGTGTATATGTGAATGGGTATGTGTGTATGTGTGTGTGTTTATGTGAGAGAGAGTCAGAGAGAGAGAGAGAGGGAGAGAGAGAGAGAGAGAGAGAGAGAGAGAGAGAGAGAGAGAGAGAGAGAGAGAGAGAGAGAGAGACGGATTGCTGGTAGTCGAGTAGGTTTTATTATGTTATGTGTTCCGTCTAGGGAATCGACATTATTTTCGTTTTTACGAATCTCCATTCCATCAATAGTAGATCATGTCAGGTGGATGGAGGCACCAACATAATATTACTCTAACTAAAGTCTAAATGATCGCCCATCGTGCCCTTGCGCTTACTTCTCTCGTTTGAACCTTTTTGATAAAGCAGTTGATCATTCACCTTTAAATTAACTCTTTCTAATAACAACAAGATGATTGCTAGTGATAAAACAGCACGACAGGCAGATCGTATAGTTTTGTTTTTCTTTTACTCAAACCACGTACATTTCGTTTGATTTCACACTGAGAGTACCAATCACACTCTTATTTGGTAGGGATGATTTTGGTTCGAATCCTTTTAAGGGGGGGGGGGGTAAATTTGGTTGGTTCAGAAGTCTGAAAGGAACTTCACGCATTCGGATTTGTACTATTGACAATGGACATTAGATTCAGAGGTCACACCCTAAATCAGCACATATAGAAAAAGGGGGTGGGGGTCGGGTGTGGGTGAAACATACAGTACTGTATACAAACTTTTGCATCTCTCTTAGTAAATGAAAATATTTCATTATACCAGCCATGCACTGATTTACAACATTACTATGAAGTAGAGACAAAACCACCTTCTGTCAAAGGGGGGATAATAACATGTTCTTATGCGCAATAAAATTGTAAATGGGCTGATTGATCAATGTCATGCTGCACTGGAACAGCATAGGGGGAACTACTGCTTTTTCTTTCCTCATTCTTACTATCGTCCTTTTTCCTCTACTTCTTTCGTATGTTTGTCACTCTCTTGTGAATTGCTTTTTCTGGGGTGCTGTGATAGTCGAAGCAGACTTTATGTTGTTGAGGCTAGAGAGGTGAGCAGAGTAAGCCTTTTTCCCCATTTGGACTTCTCTGTTTGACTCTACCCCTTGGCGCTCATATGACCTTATGCAGTTGCGAGCGCTGAAAAACTTACTATGACATAAAACAAACCACATTCTATTCCCCAGCTTTGGGCATATATGGACCAGACATCAATTCCGACATCCTAAAAACATCGGCAAGTCAACCCAGCTCAGACAATTTTGCAATGTTTTTGAATTTTAACGCTTTTGAGGAGAGCTCCAGAAACACTAATCTATTGCATCAGTGCTCCAACTGAGGAATCTTTTATGACGAGTAGTACGCATGCAGATAAAAACTAAAAACGTAGATCTACTAAAATCAGGAGCGAAATTTCACAGGAAAGAGAGTAAACGGTCTCATTGTTTAAATACTTGTACCTTTATTATGTATTTTACTTTCTTTTTTTTTCAACATTTAGAATCGGTAATTTGGCAAACTATTTCTTCAATCTGTGCAGCTAATGCCACTGAATTAAAAAAAAAATAAAACCCACTATAAACCAAAAACTAAAACGTTATAAAAGGTTGTTTTCTAAGGTTTAGATTTGCTTTCAACAACTGGCCCATTATATTTTGTATCTCAATTGCAGAGAAATTCAAATTCTAATTATGAGAAACATTCGCTGTTTGAAAGAGGAAACATAATAGATCGATACACAGAGAATGAGATTCTCCCAAACAGCTGTCTTGGCTTCCTTAAAGTGTTATAGTATCGCGACCTCAGTGTTTTCCTGTTGTATCTGCATTTTTGACAGTGAAAATGTGGCATCTTCTTAAGCATTCTTTGTTTTAAACTGTTTTCACTGTTATTAAAAATGGTGATATGACCAGAAAGCACTGGGGTCACGATATGTAGTTGTTACATTTTCGTGTAGAAAAGCCAGGGACAGGTTTCATACTCATAAACTGTAAAAACATAAAGAGAAAATCAAAACGTTTGTTTATTTCGGGAGCTGATACTAGAAACATCAGTGCGGAGTTACATTAAAGAGAATTACGGCACTTACAGACTTCAGTAAAAAAAAAAAAAAAAAAAAAAAAAAAAAAAAAAAAAAAAAAAAAAAAAAAAAAAAAGGAAGTGAGTAACAATTGTAAGTGAGAGGGGAGGGGGGGGGGGGTGGGCTATTTTGACAAAAACAAAAGGGTAAGGTACTTAAATGAAAGTGAAGAAAGAATAATACGTCATTTATCTCTTCTGTGAAGTAACAGAGAGATCTGACAAAATCGAGATCTACCTCACATGTCTGTCGATCGCTTTCGTTTTTTTGGTAAGAATTTTCAATTTTACAAAAACGTTGTAGTTGTTGAATTTGTAACATTTATACCGTTGACTTCTTGCGGGTACTGTCAACTCCAACAACTAGTTAGCTTCGTTTGAACAAAGATGGAGGATAAACCGTCGTAGTTCTTTGAACGACACAGCAGTGATCATAGATCACGTAAAACTAATGACACATAATGCAAGTTCACGTTTGTTGATATGCACGTTGTCGAATGTTGATGTACATGTACAATAACATAAAACATGTGTACACTTTTTAAAAAAGCATATATGCATACATGCGAACGTGGGTATATGTATACATGTAAATACGTCCCCTACGTACCCTGGTATCTACATACATACACACCTATAAACATTCATATCCATATGCTCACATACGCGTATGTACAAATGTACACATTCACACATACATACAAACATACATATGCACTAATACACACATACTCATAATCCCACATACACATAATATACGCACATACATATGCGTTAACACAAACACTCGTAAACATAAAAAAATAATATACAAATGCGCACATGTAAACATACCTACATACTCATTTACACACGTATACTCAAATACACACACACACACACACACACACACACACACACACACACACACACACACACACACACACACACACACACACACACACGTGCGCGCATTCACAGATTATGCACACATAAACGTAAACATTTCTGGTCAACGTCTCACTTATACATGACTTGAGCACACCATGGTCTATCGCTAAATGAGTTGTATTTAGATGAAAATTAAGTACTAAGAGTTCACATTTTGAATGGTAAATGATATTGACAAGCACAAAAGAAAACCTTTTTATTGTGAAATCTAACTATCTCTATTCTCTCACTCTCTCTCAATCTCTCTCTCTCTCTCTCTCTCTCTCTCTCTCTCTCTCTCTCTCACACACACACACACACACATACACACCCACCCACCCACACACACACACACACACACACACACACACACACACACACACGCACACTCACTCACTCACTCACTCACTCTCTATCTGTCTCACTGTCTCTCGGTTTCTCCTCAACCCCCCCCCCCTACTCTCTCTCTCTCTCACTCTCTCTCTCTCTTTCTCTCTCTCTCTCACTCTCTCTCTCTCTCTCTCTCTCTCTCTCTTCTCTTTCCTTTTCATACAAGTCTTCATTTTGTCAATCTATCAATCTAAGTTGATAATATTTCTATATTTACAAGTGTAGCTTTTTACTAACCTGGATTTAGATCTAGCTCTAGATCTAGTTTTGTATTCCTCCTAGCTCGGCCCTGCTCCTCTGTCCTCTGTACGTCTCTCCAGCCTCTTTGCCACGGGAAATCCCCCGTGAGTAGTCACGGGCTGAATATAAAACCACTCCAGGTCCAGCGAGGAGGAACACAAAACTAGATCTCTCTGGATATAAAACAACTCTGTGAGTAGTCACGAGCTAAATGTAATATTTGCCACAAGGGATTTTGGAAGGCTAAACCTTGGCCTATCTGTCCCAAGAGTAAAAATCCTTGTTCTTTAAAATCAAGACGTTTTGTTTTACAGACAAAAATCTTTGTACAAACCAACCTACAGAACCATGTTTTGTTTTCAAAATTACAACTGTTGATTTCAAAGCACTTTTTTATCCGTTGTAAGTATGTGGTCAAACGCAGAAACCATGCTAGCTTCGACACCACAGACGTTTGACTTTAAAAAGAAAAATATCTTTTAAACTAAAATATATTATCATATTAGGCAAACATTCGACGAGTGTGGTGCAACGGTTATAAGCTTCACCAATGTTACAGCTGAAGACATGAGTTTTATTACCCAGTAGCGAGGATATTCTTTTACCAATATCTATTGGCCTATTTTATCTGGTTATGTATCCTTCTAAGCCAACGTTGACCCTGGCATACACAGACGAAGCTTCCCTCCTACTGTGTGATCTAAATTCTATAGATTGGGAGGAAACAAATCTACAATTATAATCTCAACCGTATGATACAAAAAAACGAAAAAGAAAAAGAAAACAAATCAAACAAACAGTTTCCAGCTTGATTTGGTTCTTTAGTCCTCATACTTGGCTGGTGGAGATACCCGAAGACACAACTGGATCACCGGCACGATTCGATCTGTGGGTGTTTTAAGCATTTTGTCGAAATTGTTTTACTACACGTACAACACAAACCTGTTTTAAGAGTGTCAACAATCGAACACAACAAAGAATCCCACATCGTGTTTATAGACCGGGAGGGGGCTATTGACAGAGTACACCAAGCAAAGCTCTGGAAGACACTCGAAAAATTATGGCGTCAGAGGTCTAAAGTTAGATAATGTCAGAGCTCTATATACCAACAGCATAAGCTCAGTAAGAACGAATGAAGGCAATACTGACTCTTTCAAAGTAAGATCTGGAATACGACAGGGATGTGTTCTATCTCTCCTCCTGTTTATGATATATATGGACTCAATAACGCAAGACGCAAACCAAAGCCCAGAAAGCATAAATAAACTTCTATTCGCAGACGACCAATGTCTTATTCATCAGAACCAACAAAGCCTCCAAAATCACACTTACCGAACTGCACAACAGCTGAGAGAAATCTAATATGAAAATATGCACATCAAAAACGGAATTAAGAAAATGAGACGAAACCTTAGTCACCTGAACATCCAACTGAAACAGGTGAAGGAATTTAAATACCTTTGCAGTACTTTTTTCTGAAAACGGGTTCACAGACAGAGAACTAGAAATGCGAACTCAAAAAGCCAACACTGTCACCTGTCAGCTGACACCACTCCTATCTCATCCAAACATCTCCATGGACACAAAGAGACTGCTTATTATCTCAATATTCATACCAAGATTATGCTTCCAGTGCCATACCTGGACATTTAGTAAAACCCATGAAACCAAAATCACCGTATGCGAAATGAAAAGTCTCCACAACACCCTTAACATCACATTAAGACGAGACAGGCAGAAAAATGAAGAAGTAAGAGTAGCTATCGGCATTGAGTCCTGCCTGCATTACATAGAAAGACAGAGAATAAAATGTTTTGGCCTCCTGTGACGTATGTCATCTGGCCAGCCAGCCTCGAGAGCCTACAACACCAAGCACTCAGGCTAGCCTATAAAGGGAAAGGAAGGCCACACAAAAGGTGGATAGAGGGTGTCAAGTAAACCCTGAGAAAACATAATATCACAACTGAAAGAGCTGCAGAGTTGGCTTACCATAGAGAACTGCTTCTCCCCTCGACGCTTAACGGCAACAGAGGATGAAAAAGTAAAAGTAAAGTACAAGATCTTAAGAGAGCTATTGTAAAAGAATAACATACAAAGAAGAGAAGGATTGAAGAAAAAGACAGTAATGGATAGGATAGACGTAGTAAACGACACCAGAGCACCAGACAATCATTCACAGTTAAAGTTTTACGGCACCTATAACACAAACAGGTAATATAAATGCCATCTGTTAGTGGTCTTACAAGAGAAAAAAGAGGGAGGATCAGGAGGCTTGGTATTGAATACGACAAGGAAAAACCACACCAGATCACCCGCCCTTTACCCACATCTGTGAGAGTGAAATGGAGAATGGCGGTAACATACAAAAAGTGTACAGATGTAAGCGTGCGGGGGCAGAAAAGCTCGTTAAATAATTAATAGGCCTAATTAATATACAGCCTTTAAAATATCATGGCAGTTATTGTCAACTGTATCTTAACCCCCTGATACTTCTTCTCTCTGACTCTTCATCCATCTCTTTTTAGCTCCCATTCTCCCTCTTTCACTACCTCTCATTCTCCTTTTCTTTATCCCTTTTTCCTCCCTTACATAAAAAAAAATCCTCTGTCGACACTATTTTGATTAGGAAACGGTGTTCGACTCTACCTATCAGGGCAAACCCGGACTGAGAGGATTCATCAACCTAGCAAACAGACCGGCATAGTCGATAAGAATTCTTTTCACACTGAAATCGAACTTAGAACATATGAGTGCGACGACAAAGCGTCTAACAGATACACCACAGACGCTGCCCCACCCCGCCCCCCCTCTCTCTCTCTCTCTCTCTCTCTCTCTCTCTCTCTCTCTCTCTCTCTCTCTCTCTCTCTCTCTCTCTGTGTGCCTTAGTAATCTATCTATCTATCTATCTATCTATCTATCTATCTATCTATCTATCTATTTATCTATCTATCTATCTATCTATCTATCTATCTATTTATCTATCTATCTATCTATCTATCTATCTATCTATCTATCTATCTATCTATCTATCTATCTATCTATCTATCTATCTATCTTGCGCGGTTTGTCCATTGAGCACGGTCTTGCAGTGCCGCCCCAATTTTATTAATGTTCTATTACGTAAAACACCCACATTAATGAAATAAAAGAAGCCAGAAACAATCACTAGCCAAATATTGTACCAAAACAAAGGTCCTCACTGGCGCCATAACTGTCATTGCTAATGTCTATAGCTCCGTAAAACATCTACTATGCCGTGCCAAAGTCCACGCGCTTTAGCTAAACTGAAAAGGATATTCAACAGTGTAACCTGACCTATAAATCACCCTAGCGATGACGACACTCGTAGCAAGTTTGGCGGTACAGTAAGATTAATAAGACGGCACATCCCAAATGTGCTCCTTCCGAATAGTGCCGAAACATAGTCCATAGTAGGCAGCGGGCAGTCTAAAAATAAACGCAATAGACCCTACGCTATTCTTTGCCAATATTATGTGAGCCCCGGAGTTCTCCGGCGGAGTGCTCAAATGAATTGAGATTGGTTCATTGTTTGTCTTGCCACTATTTTAAGTGACTTTGTATCCGTGGGGGAGGTGAACGTGACCGTCCTATCAGTTGTGCCTTTGAATGGTTTTGTAGTGGAGTAGTGAAAGTTATTACATGTACTTGAGTGTTCAGTTCCAATACAGGATGAATGAAATTGATGTTTAGCTAACAAACAAATTTAGTACTAGAAATCAAAGCGACAAGTAAAAAGAGTGAAAATAAAAGCACGAGGCCCTCCCTCACCAAACCAAAGATCCTAAAATTATACACCATCTCATTTACTATGCCCTTGACTATCTTCAGCATGCGATAGCCTAATTATTATTGTGCACGCGCACTTTTTAGCCCCATGAGCCGCCCCTGCTATCTATCTATCTATCTATCTATCTATCTATCTATCTATCTATCTATCTATCTTTCTATCTATCTATCTATCTATCTATCTTACTATCTATCTATCTGTCTCTATCTACGCAGCATGTATATAATATGTTATGATCAGTATATTCCATAATTCAAACCCAGATTCACGAGCGTTAGCAACAGACGACGATGGTAAAGTTTGTACTTCACTTCTGGCTACCCGTGGAGTGTAATGTCAGAAAGCATGTGTCTGTAGCATTGGTTTAGAGCTTAGATTATTGGCTACTGCACGGAGATGATCGTATCTCACCTCCTGGTGATCTTAATTGTGTTAATGGGGGCGTAATATAAATTAAAATGACTTCACTCACCGTAAAACGGCACAGAGACTCTGAAGAAGATAAAAGGCACGTAAATGACAGCTGAACCCAGAAAAACGCCGGCAGCTACATAGGCATACTGGACCTCAGGGCTGATGGCGAGCGGAGCGACGAACATGTAGATGTTCAGGATTACCATGAAGATTGGCACGACCAGAGGAATCTGTACAGGAAAACCAGGTGTTCTTGTTAACAACGACAATACGGGGTGTCTCAAAAACGGGGGTGGGGTGGTGAGGGAGTGGGACTATTTACAAGGAAGTATTTTAATTATCGTTACACCTATTTCAAAGACATTTAATATAAACTGAATTCTCACTGCTAGCAGGACCGATTTGTTTCATTTATTCTTTTTTCTTATTTATAGTGCAGTACATATTTTAAAAAGCTTATTCTTTCTATTTTATTAGCGCTTCTTCAAGAAATGTTAAATAACCAGAACGTGCGTCTTCAAGAACGTAATCTCAACATAATGACGCTCTACTCACCTTAATAGGTCTGTGTGCATCGCGCATGCTTCCAAACCGAAAGACGAGGAAGCAGATGTAGACCAGGCCGTTGAAGAAAGCGTTGAGGAAGCCAATGTAGTTGATGAGCGTGCCCACTTCTGCTGGGACTAGGAAGAGTAGCGCCAGGCCAAGCTGAGGACGATGTATATATTTATTTATTTATGTATTTATTTGCTTATATATTTGTATTTATTCTATTTATTCATTTATTTAATCTATTTATTCATTTTCATATACTTTTTTAATGTATTTATTCGTTTATTCATTCCTTCATTTATTTATTTATCGATTTTTAAAAATTCTATCTTTAGTAAAGAGAAGTACGCAAAAGTAATAACAGTCATTTAGTACAGGGTTAATGAAGACAAATAAAAAAAATATACAAAAAACTGTGTCAGAGAATAAAAATAGAACAAGCCAGTGGCGCTTTCCAACCACCCGTACTGTAGAAGAGATTTGGGAATATACAAATGCAATCAAAGACAAAAGGGCAGATTAAAAAGTAGACCAAAAATAACATACACTGAGAATAAAACCTATGATTTTGAGCAGATACGTTATAGTTATTGAAAACCGTCAGGAAAATATGTGTTAAATTTTAGATGTACGTGGGCCGTCTCCTCTCCCGACACGAACAAGCAAATAAACACACGCACAAATACTCACGTTCATACAGTATTATGTATTATGTATTATATTGACAGAAGGACACATTTTAAGAGATATTGAAATAGACACAGACAGAGCGGATCACAGATAGAGAGAAAAAAAGAAGAAAGCGAGAAAAAGATGAAAAGAGAGAGGGAGAGAAGAATAGAAAGTGGGAAAGAGAAAGAAAATGACAGAAGGGAGATGAAGAGACGGTAGAGAAAGAGAAGGAGATATAAGGGTGATTAAAGTGTACTCACCAGTAGACCCATGGCGCAGATAGGGGTGAGGAAATCCACCTGGATATAACTGAGTACATCAGGAATGTTTTTGTCCCGTGCAGCAGTAAAGATCAACCTGGGCAAAAAGGGACAAACTTGTAAAATGCGATGTTAATTAGTTCAGAAAGAGACTTTAAAGAATAATATAACAAGCTACCCCCCC